CCACCACAGGAGACCACCTCTACTTTACATGTAAGCTGAGCTAAAATGACCCACTAAATTGACAACATAAACTGGTGAGGGGGAAGGAATGAACGAGACACCTTAAACTCTTTTATTCCCCATCCTGAAATACCTTCAAGGAATTTCTTTAAATCACAGCAACTTGAGCATAAAAATACACACTGCATCAAGCTACACAAAGAGCATACACTGGGTGAGAAATACTGTAAAAGCCAAGTGCTCTGTCTCCTAGAGCAGTGTTCAGATTACACTGGGGGTTCACCGAAGAATGATACTACAAACAAATTGGTCTGTGATATCAGACAGACCCTTTCTCTGGGTATGGTTTTTATACTTCTGCACCCCAGTAACAGGGTTCTTCCTATTAAATACAGTCACTCAAACAGCAAATTTAATTCACACTTTTCAGGAGAGGCAAAAGGGACAAACATTGCAGGTTACAAGTTAAGACAGGCCACTCATCAATGACAGCATGCGATGAAGAACAGCAGAAAACCGACCTGGAACATGTTGACATCAAGTGCTCTTACTGGTCCTGTGTGCTTGTCTTTCTGGGCAATTATTACTTCAGTATCTCCAGCTATGATTTTATCTGGGTCGTAAAGAATGACATTTCCGTTTTCACCCCCAGCAATCAGGACTCCAGAGACTCTCTCCCCTGAGGTCATGCTGTGCGGCCCCCAGATCAGCTTGTGGTACCTGTAAGACACAGAGGTCCCCAGGATAGTCTTTCTACAACCATCCACCATCAGCTCCACACACACCAATGCACCTCATTTTGCTCACCCCAGCTAAAGCCTCCAGACCACTTCTAACAGACAGAGCAGACACATCAGAGAAAAGCGCTGCCCGCATTTCTCCTTAAGGATGAGTTTCTGCACTTACAACTCCTGTCAGAAAGACAACATGTCCTCATTCTGCTCGTTATTAAGATGAAAGGTCACAACATGTTCAGCTGATAACATCTCTCATCCCCTGGCCACAAAATCGGATAAGTGCTCCCAACTGTGGCCAATTTTGAGCTCACCTTTGCAAAACAATAGAAGTAAAGGACTGTAAGCCCATCCAACTGCAGCCTGGAGGCAAACCTCTGCTGTTTGTGAGCAGCTCTTCATACAAGAGAGGACAAAGGTAGAACTGGAAAAATTCCAAATCCATTTCCGTTTCTGTATTTCTGGATGAGCAACTGTTTCATCTGCTGTACTGGAGGCTCAGCAAGTAATTCATTCACATCACAGACACTTGTCTCTTGGACCACAATCTATTTTCCAGGCTAAATCAAGAGGAATTATACCTACTTCCAGAAACGAATTATTTTCACACCACTGTGTCCATCTGCAAATAGCCAGATATCCTTCAACCCAGTGAACTTGCTGCATAAGCAAAACAGCATTCCTGTGTATTCAGCCAAACAAAGAATGAATTTCTTCTACATAAAATGACACGCTGTCATGTATCAGCTCTTAGGCAAGCAGAAAGCAAACCCATATTGGCTGAAAGGTGTGAAGGAGTTACTTTAGCATTCACTGTGTTATTACTAATCTTTTTGTTATTTCTGGACAACCGTCAAGGAATTTCTTTAAATCACAGCAACTTGAGCATAAAATACATACTGCATCAAGCTACACAGAGTCTACACTGGGTAAGAAATACTGTAAAAGCCAAGTGCTCTGTCTCCTAGTGCAGTGTTCAGATTAGTGGGGATTCACTGAAGAATGACACTACAAACAGAAATTGGTCTGTGATATCAGACAGACCCTTTCCCTGGGTATGATTGCTTCTGCATCTAACTATGCAATGTTACAAGAAATGGAGTGACTCACAGGGTTGTTTGGGCACTAGCATTAGACCACCAGCAAGATTCAACAGGACTTAAAATAACCCAAAATGAAGGCGGAAAACAGTCAAGAATGAAAATCAGAGTTAACCATGCATACCTTCCTCTTGCCCTTTTCTTTTTCCAAGATAAAGTATGGCTCTGTAAAAGCAGTGCAAAACTTTCTTTGGAGGACAATTAACAAAGCTTGTTGCAGGACTTATCTTTTGTGGGTTTAATTACCCAGACATTTTCATTTGCTGCAAACCAAAATAAAACCTGCGGTATGCCGGGGCATTTCTTGTTATCTTTAATAAAAAACAAACAAACAAAATCTACCTCCTTTGGAATGTATTTTCTGAAGCAGAGTCAAATTCTTGTGTTGCTCACCAAGGGAAGTACAAGATTCAAAGGAGCACCACATCCTCGTTATGATGAGTGGTTTTTGAAATTCAGTAAAAAAATGCCACTTGGCAAGCCCTGAAAAATTTCAGTCATGGTGACAACAAGGTAAAACAAGGAAATTGTAAAAGATCACACACCTCATCCTGCTCTCAGCAGGACACGTTAACATTAGCTTTGCTCACAGTGCAGGGCATTAAACAGACTGTGGCTGTTTCTCACAAGCCCTGTGTACTAAACCATGGACAACTGCAGGGCACAGATCGCAAGCTGCCTGCCAGCACGACTGCTCTGCCAGTCCATGGGTCATTACAGCAAACCTGACATGGCACAAAGCCAGCAGCCTAACACTTCCTCCCTTCCTCCTGCAAAAGCTACTGCAACTGTTCTCCACCAAAATCAGAAGAGCATTCCTAAGCAGTGTCACAGTGCTGTTGAGTGCAAACACACACAGTTTCAATCCTCTCGTTTAGAGGCAACACAACCTCTAGTAAGCCAGCAAATGGCATTTGGTTAAAAACTTTAGGAAAGAGTTGTAAAACTTTAACTTCAAGACCTAAAGGACCTACAACGTATAGTGAAGACTCAAATCCAAATAATTTCTACTCGTGGCGGAGGTGGTGATAATTGCTTCTCTAAAAGTGTCCGATTCTCAGTGGAACATAGCCCTGAAAGGTTGTAATTGCCCCCACCTCCAATCATGTTGCTTCAGGTCACCAGGGCGAAAAGTGGTTCTGCTGATGCTGTAGCTGGTGTGAAAAAAAATCATGGATCCAATCCAATGGCAACAAAAAATTTCACCTCTTCCTCTACCCACAGCAACATCCTGCACTTACGTCTGTTTTTTCAGCTCACCCACAAGGAGCAGCAGCCACTGGACCAGACACCAGAGAGCCACTACAAATGTTGCCGAGATGAAAACCAGACGATTTGATGCTTCTTTGAACAAGAACAGAGTAAGGAACTATGAATTAAACGGAGTCGTGCAGTCAGGAACTGGGCTTCCCATCTGCGGGGTGAGACATGATACTACACACACAATACACACAACATGACCCAGTTTAGCTCTGTTACAGGACAGGGTAATGTGAAAAGCTGACTGCATTTTCAAAATTTCACATTTCCTTCTGTTCTCTGGAGAATTCCAGAAGCTCCCCAATATAAATTGTCTGCATGCATATTCAAACCTACCAGTCAATGACAGATTTTTTAGATTTATGTCAGAGCATGAGTTGCTTGCGACTCCTCAGAGTCCAAGTTCACTGCCTTCACAATGACACCTCGCTGTCCCACATCATCAGTGGCACTTGCACCTTCATCCGTCAGTGCTGAATTTCTGCTCCTCTCCTTAACAACTGTGGATAAACCTCACGAAGCGGCCTTTCCACACACACCATGTGCAACACTTCCACAGCCGTTACTTTTCCCTCACAACCTCACTGCTTACCTGTGAGAGGAGGAGAAGGTGGCGCAAGACTTCATATTCAGTGAAGGGTCTGATAAGTCCAACTCAAATATTTCTAGAGAAGCACTTGTACTGAAGGTTGCATCCAGCTGCTGAGCTGATGTACCTGCAAAGAAGCATGCCTGGCAGTGAGAAAGCCATGATATACAGAAGAACAACTGCAAAAGCAACACAAGGAAGGGCATAAAAACATCATCCGTGCAAAAAGGACCCCAAGACAGGGTAAGGTTTCTGTTATTTAGATGTAGTTCTACATAACTCTCCTCCCCATGATTCCTCCTTCAGGGGTTTCTTAACCAATATGAATGGGAAAAGCTTTGGGCAAGACAACATACAGAAAGTGATCAAAGTTATGAACAAGCAGCGTGGGAAAGTGAACCAGTGGTCAGGATTGCTGTCACCCTACCCCAGCAGAAAGAAGAGGATGCCTGCTGTCACCTGCAGAATGAAAAGCGTGTTTTCATACACAGCACAACTGGAGATCTCCACTAAAGGCACTGCACTGCTCCAGCCTTCAGAACAAGAAATAACTCCTACAACTTTCACAGAACCCCAGAATTATCTCAGTTGGAAAAGACCTTGAAGCTCCTCCAGTCCAACCATGAACCTCACCCTGACCGTTCCCAACTCCACCAGATCCCTCAGCGCTGGGTCAACCTGACTCTTCAACCCCTCCAGGGATGGGGACTCACCCCCTGCCCTGGGCAGCCCAAAATGATGACTGCTTCATGGCAGCCACCACACACAGCCCCAGGCCTGCTAGCACACACTTCCCAGAAACTCACCTGTGGCCAGGTAAATGGGGTGCTGCTGGGCAGGGCTCCAGGCCTGCATTGCAGTACGATCAACTTCCTTCAGCTTCATTTTGCTAAAAAGTAAACCCAAGAAAAGCAATGCTTAAATGGAGCACCGGGGAGACCGCCCTTCCACAGATTCAGCAGCTGCATTAGGACTTAGCAAAAGCTGCCGGGGGCATCGTTTTCCTAAATAAATCCCACAGACAGACGGACACCTAAGCCATCCTTTCCAGAGCAGACCGAAAGGGGAAGGAGATAAATAATTCTCTGTTGACAGAATAACATCGACACTTAAAGGAAACTGATAGCTGCTGAAGCAACCATAAAACAGGACAACATGAGCAAAGTTTCAACTGCTCTGAAAAAACATATTCTAGCTGCATCGCAGCACACATCGGGTACCCTACGGCAGCTTCCAGCCTTAACCCACGAGACAAACCCACCCTCGAGAAAACCCTCGTTAGACCCCTGCCGCCAACCACCCTCCGCAACGAGCCAGATGAGAGAACGGAAAACGGTTCAAGAGCCTTCACCGTCTCCTTTTTGGGTCTTTTTTTTTCCCAACAACTCTGGGGCTCCCCCGCCTCGGAAACACCGTGCGCGGCCAGCGTCCGCCGGCCGCCTCATCAACCAGCGCCTACACCCCGTTTCCAACAGGAACTGAAGGAAAAAAGGCGTTAAACGAGAGTTTCCCTACCCCCCCACCTCACCTCCAAGTCCCCGTCCCGTCCCGTTCCAACGTGGCAGCCGC